AATGTGAGCAATGGAAGAGCCAGAGCCTGAAAAACAGATTTCTGAATTTAGTTTTAGCCAGACTATTTTTTGTAGATTTGGAGAACTCTGAATATGTCCCAGGTTGGACCATTGTGCTCCCAGCCTGAACACCGAACACTCTAACATTTCAGTGTGGTAGATAATCAAAGTCTAGATCCAATCCTGCTTCATCCAATACCATTTGGATGGTATCTCTTTTCTTTTGAAAATCGTTATAGGTAGAACAGGTATAAAAAAAGTCCTAAGAACTGAGAGAGGTAAATGAGAAGTAACTACTTTCTGAAAGGAGAAAAGTGAGATCTCTCATCTTTGTACAGAATGAGTATTTTCTTTCCTAACCTATTTAGATAATTCGGATCAAGTGCTTAGAAGTATTGTTGAGTCTTGCAGGAAAATGGTCTCACTTGGTCATTCAGCCACCACACAGTGAAAGGAGCCCTTCTTTGCTGAAAAGAGGGACTGAAGACCAGACACTTCTACAATTCCAATTAAGCTGCATTTGCATCATCTAGAAACTGCATTTACATCATCAGCTGCTTCCAAGTACAAGAAATTATGCTTACAGAAATGAATCTTCAGAAAAACAAACAAACAAAAAAAGCCATGCTCAAGGACTTCAGTGGAGAGGCACTGACCACTCTGTCCCTAGCATTTTGTCTGTCATCACTTCAAAGAGAACTTGGTGGTGGTTCATTTCCAAAAACAGAATATAAGAATGTGATCCTGTTTCTTACAGCATACATGTGCTTTTGGCTTCTAATTCTGTTTGACATGCTTCTTTTGCACAGTAGTTTGCAGTTATTAGTTTCACTATGATTCTTTCTAGGGGCATATGTCCACCTGGCATAGCCTCACATCTGCCTTTTGGAAAGCACAAGTCATCAGGATATCACACAGTGCTGCACCAGCAGCCTGCAATTATTGGTGTATGAAGTCAAAACAAAACCTTTCATCTGCAAATCAGTGAAAAGCATAGAAAAGACTGTGAGTTGCAGTGTAGAACTTCACCTCTGGGTTTGACTAGGGAGGTATAGCAGAAAGGTTCCTAATGGTCATAAATCGTTTGGTTTTGTTGCACATAGGTCGTAGGATGCTACATCAACAGAACAGACATCAACAGTACAGATACCTGCTTCCTTTCTCCCGCATGTTGTGGCTGAGCCCTTTTTTCAGAAGATTAAAACTGAAAAGACTGTTGAATTTAACAGAGTGTCAGTGTGGCCCTATTTTTTTTTTTTCCCTCTGGACTCTGCTCTGTTAAGAGGCTGTTATTACTGTGGACTGTATGACAAGTAGACATTTTGACTCGGTATCATACTGTTTAGCAAGATCTTCGGAATTCAAAGGAAAATTATTTTACTACCCATCATTCTATAGTCAAATAAAGAAAATTTGTCTCCTGTAGTATGTCTCTGCTGCAGAGCATTCATCTATCCTGTCAGATTTCGTACGTTGGCTTTTACTTACATCTTCCTTGTGTTCTGTATCTTGTGATGGGTCATTACCTTCCATGAGCATGGTGAATGCTTTCACCTATTACAGAAGAGGGCAAGCTAGGTTGGTTTTCCAGTCTGCGCTGGTAGGAAGTTACAGCCTGTGAGTGGGTTAGCCCTGTGTGATCTTGAGGTGTGTTTGCAAATTAGTTGTAGGTGGGACAAGGTTGCATTTATTTCAAGTAGGTTTGCACAGCTGACTTTTGTTTCCTTAATTGGCTAGTTCAGTAACTGATGTTCCAGTGTGATCTGGCTTCTTCCTGTTCAGCTGCATTAATCAGTTGATGATTAAATTTAACTCCGTGTTTTATCTGAGAACATACGTAAGCATGTTTTTGTATGTCTTTTTGTTAGTGGATAATTTTTCTAGTAAATAACTAGTACTCAGCCAGGTGATATTTTCTTACCCCAGAATGCACCCAGCTGTTTTACCTGATTTCTTTCCAAGTGTTTATTCATGCACAAGTGAATTTATTATATTCTGGCTAAATGTTACACAAATATTGTTGTTTTTAGTCTCTGGATTGACAGTTTTCCTCTGCTGCTAGTTTTGTACAGTTATACTTCAAGGTTACTTCAGTTTAGGTATTTCTGGTAGTATGTTGTTGCAATAAATAATTGTGTTGTTTCCTCTGCATCTTTGGTTGATTTGTTTAAAAGAAATAATTCAGACACATCATAGCACTTCACAAACAGCATATGTAAATACATGTGCATACATATGTATGTTTATATGACAAGGAGAGAAGCAGTGAGTACAATGACATTTCATGTCACGGCGCTGTTGAGGTATGGTTGTTTAATACTGTAAGCTATATAAACCTGAACTAATGTGAAACTGTTCCTTATTATGTAATAAAGGCTTATCATTTTTTTGTGCCAGCATATACTGAAAGGCCCAATGTGTATATTTTATGAACACTAGCATTATTGTGATATTTTGGAATTCATGAACCACTTATTTAAACTTACTCATGTGTATTTGGTCTTGTGCTGTGCATACTGCACTGTGGTACTGAGATAATTAATCTTTGTACATACCAGTATTTTGCGTGATGCAGTTAAGGTATTGAAAGTTTTGTTTTCTTTTTACCTGGTTGGGAAAAGTGCAGGTAAGTTGTTTGACTTGAAAATAAAAATGGGCCAGGTTGTTGGAACAGTCCCAGATACGTGTAGGAACTGGGACAAGAACTCATTGAGAGCGTCCCTAAGGACTAGGACTAGGGGGTCCTGTTGGACAAAAAGCTTGACGCAAGCTGGGCAACCAGAAATAGTGAGTGGTAACCCTGTGCACAGAGGGGAAGGGGGATTGGAACTGGATATCTTTAAGATCCCTTCCAACTCAAGGCGTTGTACAAATATGAATCCACTTCAGGACTTATAAGAGCTTAGAGTCAGGATCTATGTAGGTGAATGCAGGAGAGGCTATAGAGGACATGTTGAGGTGAATATTTAGTATACTTGGGTATCTTTTTAATTGATTATATGATTGCATCTGATCTATGATATTGGGCTGCGATCCTTAAAGATGTTATTGGACTTAAGTGTAATGATAAAGTTATGTTTCTTTTCTGCAGAACTTTCTCAGATTAGCCCTGAAATTGTAAATGAGTAACTTAAGAATTGAGAGTGGCATTGTGTGAAAAGTTGCCTGGTTTGTGCTGTAAAGTGTAAAAGTCAATCAAATTATCATTCCATTTGTGTGTGAGTTTGCATGTGCCCGAATGAGGACAGCGGAAGTGAGAGATATTGAGAAACAGGTAATAGAAGTGCTGAAGCACCTACTAAGAAATGTTAGTTGGGCTAACAATAAACTTCTAATTCAATAAAGATGTGAAGAAGGAAGATATAAAACAACTGACAGTATAAATCAGGAAAATGTTTTAATCTATTATCTTTTTCTGTGTTTTTTTTCACGACAAGTGAAATAAAATCTTCCATAAATACGTTGTCCAACGGTTTCAAATAACTGACCTTCTACTATCTTCCACTAATTTAATGGAAAAACAGTGGAATTCTCAGCATATCTGCTTCATAACAGTTTCCTAAACAAACTCCAGTGCTTCTGATGGAGTGGATTTCTTTCCATGGTCAGGTTGTTCTGGAACAGGCTCTCTGTAGAGGTGGTGGATGTCCTGTCCCTAGAGACATTTAAGGCCAGGCTGTTCAGGGCTCTGATCAACCTGATCTAGCTGTAGGTATCCCTGTTTGTTGCAGCAGAGTTGAACTAGATGGCCATTAAGGGTCCTTTCCAACTCATCTGGTTCTGCAATTCATCTACTGTCCACTGTTGGTGTTTTGAAGCCTGTCTCTGAAAGCTGGAAGTGAGTTGCTGGAATAGATGAGCCACTGCTCGTTGGTACAGTGCTTCCTTTCTTTTCAGTGTTTTTTTTCTCTTTTTTTGCTAGAACAGTTTGTATGCCAGTGTCAGCCCCTCATGTCTGCTTCAGTCCAGGAGGTTATTGCAAGTTGACAGCCCTTGGAGTATAGCAGCTGGTTAACAACACGTAACATAATGACACCTCCAAAGCACTTCTAGCTGGGAGGTTTTAAAGAGCACTGGCTCTCTTCCCAGCCTCTGGAAAGCATGTATTCCCCAGGAGAAAACTGCCCTTGCTGAAGTACAGCTGTTTTTCACATAGACGATGCCTCTGCCTTTCTAAAAAGTATTGTATTTTTTTTCCACTGGTGACATTTCTTATACGCATTTGTAATTTCATATAAATTTGGGAGTGTCTCTAATTATGATATGAATTGCTGGCATGTTCTTCAGTTAAAAAGAGATTTTTCAGCAGAGCCAGCATTTCATCTCTGTGTTGGCACTGTTGATGAGTTTGGGCTTTTTTTTTACTACCATATTATAAAACCAGTTCAAAATACTGTTACTTCTGACAGCCAGGGTTGTATGCAAAATGGTCACTACGTTCTTTTATTTGCATTGTGTTGAGCAAGTAGTCTTTTGGATGTTGCAAGTAGAGGCATTGCAGGTTCTGTTTTTCTGTTATTTTTTCTTTCTTTTGATATGCTGATTTTGAGTAGCAGAAATGCATGCTCTGCTAGCATGCGTTGACAAGGGAAAGTAGTGCACTGAAGGGAGCAGAACAGGTTACACCACAATTCCAAATATTTCTATATGCTGTATTTTAATGTACCTAAAGTAAATATTATTAGAAAAGCTAGTTTATCTGATGGTATTGGGTAACAGCCATATTGGAATAGATCTTTGTTGAGTTTTCCCTCTCTTTATAGGCTAATTCAAACCACACAGGCTTTCTCGTCTTATTTTGAGATCAGTAAGTCAAGGTTTTTCTTTGGTGTTCCTGTCCATAGGAACAGTACAACAGTAGTACCTGCTGTGCTTTATTTGCATCAGGTGAAGACCTATGAAAAAAAAAAAACATTCATATATTTTTAACATTGATTCATTTTCTTTTCTGTCTGCCTGTCTTTCTTTCTGCCTGTCTTTCTTTCTTTTCCTGTTCCCAGCAGATATATGGAGTGATCAATCATTTCAGACAGACCCAGACTTACCACCCGGATGGAAAAAAATCAATGACATTGCTGGAATCTACTACTGGCACATACCTACGGGAACAACTCAGTGGCAACGTCCCGTGTCTGTTCCAACAGATCTTCAGGGCTCAAGGAAAGGATCACTTGGTTCCATTACTCCATCTCCTACTCCAGAAACTGAGGTAACATGCTGTCCTGATGTGTGCTGTGTACTATTAAAAAAAATAAAAATAAAAAGACATACCTTCTTGAAATGCTTGAACATTACCTAAAGTAAGCTTTAGAATATGAGGCCTGAAGCTATTCCAAAGTATAGCTTCTTGTTGACAATATATTGTAATAGCCTACTTTTCATGTGTATTTTCTAATGGCTGTGCCTCATAAAGCATCCTAAACTTGGGATGTGTAGGATGAAATCAAACATCATATCTCGCATAAATAAGTCAGTGCGTGATTGATGTGAAATGACTGCAGTTGTCTAGTGTGTGCTGAAGCGTTACTCCATTATATGGGTACATAAAATTTCTGCACATTATAGCTATCTTTTTGCTAGACTATTTGTAATTGCATCTTCTTTTTGATTCACCTAGTAGGAGTGGAGTATCACACAGAGAATTCATTTGAGACACCAGCTGCTTTACAGGGTAGTTGCTATTAAATAAATATCAAGTATTCTCAAGTGTAAGCCTCTTAACATCTTGTCAGTACAAAATATCTGCGTGAGTAGATCACTGTGTTGCAGTCAGTCTTTAACTAGAAACAGAAAGAAATATGTTCTCTCTTTCTACATGGGCTGAAAGAGCAATATATGATAATGCCTTTTAAAATAATCCTTGAAGGCACAGTTGAGAAGGTTGATTGAATGTCGTATACATAGAAATGTAAAATAAATACTGAGAAGGAAGAGCATGCTTCAAAAATGGAATCACGTTGGTTTTTAACGTTGAGTTGACTTCTGTGGAATGGACCATTAATACAATAACAGATTTTGAAACATAATCCTTTTTTGTTCTGACTTTCCAGAAGAATGTCTACAGCTTTATGGCATCAATTGAAGTCTTTGTACTTGCTTTGATTTTTGTATCAGGCAGTATTTGGTTGTTATTTTTTTAATGTATTTAGGTATGACATTTTTTTGTGTTCTTGACTTTATTGATACATGCACCAAAATAACTTAGGTGAAAGGCAAGGGGAATTAAGGACATTCGTATATGTGTTACAGTTTTGACCCTGAAACTCCTGTATAGACTTAAACATGCACATTCTTGTTAATTATTTCAGAAAGGTTGCTCCCACATGTTCACAAATGCTACTCATAAGGTTGCCAACCTTGACCACACCATCTTAGTTATGGTTCACATCAGTAAGGTGCCTGTGCACCAAACACACTGGAAATCATTTCTGAGAGAGGTTCATGAAGAAAGAACATCAGTTGGTATCAATCATGTAGAAAATAAGAAAAAAAATCAGAAACGCTCCATATAAATTCCTGCAAATTCTTCCAGCTTCAAATTTCTGGATTGTATAAGTGAGGGATATAACTTCAACATTAAGTATTTCTCTAGAATATGGACAACATATGGGCTTCAATAGGGAAGTTGTAGATGTCTTTCATTTCACCCAGAAATCAGTTAGGTTAGTAAATTGCAGAAGGAGAATGCATATATTCTTTTGAATTATTTTTCTACCTCTGTTTAAAATATCTTTGCAATGAAAATGTTAGACCTGCTGGTAGTGTGGCATATGTACCTTTAATCTTTTATAATTTTGGTTTCTTTAAACTGATAATAATTGTAGCAGCACAATTTTAGTACAGTGTGAATGTATAAAATAAGACGCTTGAGCTATTCTAAAATGCCATATATGTGAGTATATGAGTACTCACATTAAACTCATTTAGATTTTGATGTGGACATGCTAATGCACTGAAGAATTTGATCCAGTCAACATATGCATTTCTATGGCAGGATCAGTACAATATACTGTATCTTAAAAGATTATATAGAAAATAAGCAAGTTCCTGATACTTATATTAGTATGTTAATATTATATGCCTTTTTTAATTGTAGATGTAAGCTGAAGAATTCATCTCTTGAAGGTTTCTATGTTCACCGATAAGCTTCTAACATGCTACTATTTAAATAATACTGATTTTTTTTACTATCATTACTAAGATAGCACTGCAATAAATACCAGCACATTGATAGAATTAATTTGGAAATCTGTTTCTGTCAGTCTGAGACAAAAGATGTGGAATTTGATCTAGAATGAGGCTCCCAAACATCTGTATCCTGGTGCTGCCATTGGCAGCAGTGGTTGTGGTGGACAGGTTCCAGTTTGAGGCTGGAGCACTTTTGAGCTGTGTACTGCTGGTTCCCATAGGGCTGCTCAGAGTACAGACATCCAAACTGATCTGGCTTGGAGGGCTGCCTTAGTTCAACCCTATGGGCAGGAATTTGTATTGTTTTCTTCTGAAAACCTTTTTGATGGATGAAAGGGCAATCTAGGATTGAAAATTGGTGTGGGTAGCATTTCTTATTTCTCCTAATAGGCTTTTGTCACTCCATAACAATTATTTTATCACTTTTGTTTGTGAAGCATCAAGTGCTAGTCTTGAGTTTGTTTGGGCTATTCCAGCTTTTAGGTTAGTCAAACATATAGAAACTTTTTTTTTGTTCCCTGAGTAATGCTATTTTTACCCTTTGTCTTGTTCCTTCTTTATTAATTTATTTGTTATTTATTTTAGCTTTGTGTCCCTGTCTCTTAAATGATGTGACATACAGAAACTTTGCTTCATTTGGTAGAATGTGGCTCACAGCTGAGAGCAGTCAACAAAGATAGCCAGTTATTCCATGCCTGGTTGCAGGTATTTAGCATGAAGTACAACTGCTAGCATTGAACAGCAAGTTACAAGAAAATGAGCATGGAAGAATGGTGCTGTAATGAGCACAAGTGGCACAAAAGGCTTTAAAAAATGAAAAATACCGCAACGTCTTACTCTTGCTCAGGCTGTAAGACAATTTTGCTTTTCAAGATAATTAGCGAGTTTCAATCCAAACCAATTACAGGTTATGCATTATGTGAAAATTCTGCTCATTTAGCAGAAGTGCTAATAAAGACTAAGTATGGCTAACCTGGATTATTCCTTCCCTTTCTACTCCAGCAAAAGCACAAAACTATATTTTGTTTTTGGACAGGTGGTTAAAGTTCACTTAGTTTTAGTTGGCTCTTTTCTTCTCTGCATTGATGAATTTGATGAATGACTTCCTTTATAAATCCCCTTGTTTTGTATGTTTTCTTCCAAATTTTAGAGAAATTACTGCTTTTTTCCCATTTCCTGTGCAGAAAGAAGGAGCTTAATTTTCAATAAGAACTTCTTTGAGGTCCCAGTAGAACGTGATGATGGTAGTTGTCATCTTAAAGTCTGATTCATCACACACCTGGATCACCTCTAGAAGTTCTTCTGTAGGTAACATAATCGCCAACAGCTAATAATTTAAAAATGAGGGGCTTAGTAGGAAAAGCTAACAACTATTAATTAAGTCAGAGGCATGTTTGGGAGGAGTACTAATGGGAGTTGTTTTTAATCAATAATTACTCCAGGGGAGATTTCCTGAGAACACTTCTGAGATGTGAGATCCATACTGTGAATTAATGTATTGGATATGTGGGTGCTGCTTGGCCTTGGAGCAGAGCTTGTCTTGGGAGGGGCTATTATTAATTATTATTAATTATGGTAATTTGTGATGATTTGGGGAGCTACGAAATGGTGGCTTCCTTGTGGGGAAGAAAGGGGGACAACTCCAACATTAGTTGCTCCTCCCAGGCTTTGCAGGGAAGGACAAAACTCAGATTGCATAGTGTTAAATGCACTATTGCCTTATTAACTGCACCACTGAATGCATCAGGGCTATTAGAAAGTTAAATGGAAAATGAGAGAGTGGATGGTTTGTTTTATTTTCTTCTTGGAAAAAAAAAAAACAGAAAAAGGTTCCTAGATTTTGCAAAAGTACTTTCTCAGCAAAAAATCTCTCTGCACTCCTTATTAATTCTCCTTCCCTTCTTTCTGTTCCTCTTGCTTTTTCCCTAGAAAATATTTGATCTTTACCTTGTATGTATCTTCTCCTTGTCTATATCGTTGTGTTGCAGTATTTCTAGATCCAGCAGTATTAGTCTCTTAACAAATGTGCCAATCAAATGGAAATCCTTGTGTTTCCCCTAAATTGCTGTTTACCAGGCTGTAGCAGCTGTGGCCAACATTCATATTCAGATTTATTTTGCTTGCTTTTAAGATCATAGTTAAAGAATAATTTCATTGTTCGTTCCTAATTTATATTAACTTTCCTTGTTTCAATCATTTGTTTTGGTAAGTAACTGTTAGAAGCATGTCTTCTCTTCCCTTTCCTCCAAATGCCATGGTATAGTAATTAGCTGAAGTTTGAGGTGATCTGTTCCCTAACCCATCCTGTAAATATCAATGCTAACAACAGTGTCTTGTGTTTTTTTTTTCTTTTTCTTTTTTTTTTTTTTATCAATGTGCTTCTTCCTGTGTGAATAATTATGTGTCTAGAAACAGCCATGGAGTGATTTTGCTGTACTGAATGGGGGAAAGATTAATAGTGACATTTGGAAGGCAAGTATATTGTCAGATTTTAGAACCTTTAATACTATTACTCTTGTTTTTTGCATGGCAGTGGCTGTTTTTTCCCCTTTTATTTTTCCATGAATGTCATTCATAACTTAGGCCGAAGTGAATGGGGGTACTGCTAGGGATGTGTAGCTCACAAACATGCTGCCTTTTCTGATCTTTCCACATGGAATGGATTCAGTCTAAACTTGCAGGGCAACTGCCATGATATAACAAATAAGATGCCTGCACTGAATGAAATGCAGCTTGAGAATATATATGCATGCCTCTTTTCAACTTCAGCCAGAAGTACTGTCGCTTCTTTGCAGGGAGGATTTAATTTCCCTTTGAAATAAGAAATAACATGGTGGTGTCCTTAATACTGCATTGACCAAACTGCCTTTATCTCTAGGACCTGCATGCAGCCACTGTGAACCCAGACCCAAGTCTGAAAGAGTTTGAAGGAGCAACGTTGCGCTATGCCTCTTTGAAGCTCAGGTACGATGACTTCAGAAATTCCCATGGAGAACCAGTTTCATATGGTGCTTTCCTTAATTTTTACCTTATTTTTAAGTTGATTTTTGTTTGTTTTTTCTTTAACAGAAATGCTCCACAGTCTGATGATGATGATTCTTGTAGCATCAACAGTGATCCAGAAGCCAAGGTCTGTAAGAAAATACACTGTGAGATAACAATTAAAAATTTGCAATTGTGAACATAACTTGCAAGCTGCAGAATGTCTCCTAGGTTGTGAAGTTTAATACACTCCTCCTTTTGGCACAATGTAGGTTGATCACGCAAGACTAATTTTTTCAAAGGAATTTGCAATTTAAAGTTTTATTCAATTTGGTCAGGAAAGTGCGATCAAGAGCCAAGAAATTGCATGTTACAGCTGAAAAGTAAGTGGTAATAACTGGTCTCTTGCTCAACCAAGTGAGTTTTCTTCTTAAGTAAGAGAGGGGTTTGTTTTTTGTTATGGCTGGACAGCTTCCTGGGGCTTTCATTGCTGGCAGTGGCCCTTTATTCTCAAGTTTGTCCCCTCTTTAAATACTCCTTGCTCAAGTGGCTGCTTCAACTCTCAGATACCAACAAGGAAGCTGCTTTTTAGAAAAAGGAACTTTGTATTTTAGAGAATGGAGAATGCGGTCTAGTTTGAGGATAAAATTTATAGATAAAAATGAGACTACTATCTGAACAAGCACCATAATTAAATCAGGGCCTTCAGTGATGTAATCTAAACTTTCTGAGGAGAAGAAAGCAGCAGGAGGTTTTGAAAGTTTGTGCACAAGTCTCCAGATTGATCTTGTTGACGGTTTTGCCATGTGCTTGCATCCATTTTTAAGAATGTATGTGAATCTCTAAAATTGGAAGTCCAACTAGTTTAAATGAGTGCCTTTGCTTCCATACACCTGCAGTGACTGACAGGAGCAGAAGCTACTTACGTACAGAAAGACAGTTTGAAACAGATTTAGTAATTATAATAGCATTAGCGATATATTTTAGGAGAGAAAACAGACTGATCAGGGTACTTAAAGTCTTTGTCGTCTTGATTATTTGGCTTGTGATGTTTAAATCAGATGTAAATAAGTTTGTTTCGCTTGGCAGGCTGGCAGTTAAAAAGCAAGGCTTCAGCTGCTCTCGTTATAATGACAGACACAGTAAATGGAGTGGGGGAGTGATGAGCATTAGGTACCAGTCTTCAGAAAGCTGTTCCTTTCCAATGTCTTACAGTGTGGGAAGCATTGCAAGTAGCTGGTATTTGGGTACGTCTAACTCTCTACAGGATGATTAGCACTGGGGGAGTCCTTTTGTGGAGTGTTTGTGTAGACAAGAAGACTGGTCATCATCTCCCTCCCGTCTGACTAGCTATTTAGCTACACAATTTATAGAACTGATACCCATCCAGTATCAGCAAAATGAGATGAAGCCAAGAGCTTGTCCACAGTAGCTGGCTTTTTTTCTCCTGTATAGGCCAAACCGTGCTGATGATGCTTAAATGAGTAATCGTAGCTGAGCATTGAAACATTCACTGAAGTGGCTGAAAGGAGCAGGACAAGAAATGGAGTAGGAATTATACACGTTTTATGTTTATTGCATCACTTGAGCACTGATGTGCTATCTATCACTGCCTGACTGGGCTGTTGTGTAGGGGTAGCAGTGCCCAGGTCTGTGTTACGGCTCAGCAGCTTGGGCCTTACTCTGCAGCTCCAGAGGCTGAGGGCTTCCAGCTGCTGTATGGCTGTACCTTGCAGGGATGGGAGGTGGTATGGGAACACCAGGAAAATCTTTGCCTCTGGAAAAAAATCATGGAAAGGCGGGTGTGGTAGGAGGGTTCCTTGTTAGCCCATTTTATCCAACTTATTGTGAGAGTAAAAGAAGTGCAGTAGGATTTAAAACAGATGACCTGACACTTGGATAAATCAGATTTCTAGCTTCTTCAGCTTCTCTGCTACATCACTTGCCTCACTGCATTGGTTTGAAGCTTGCTTCTGTGTGGCAGCAAGCACAGCCTCAGAGAAGGAAGCTAGAGAAGGTAACTCATTAAACTCTATGTTAAAAGAATGTGTCAAAATGGGCCTTGTTAGAGAGATGCTAGAGACTTTAAATCTGTTTAATCCTATTCATGATAGTGGCCAGTATGTTAAAAGAAAAATAAAATTAAAAATGTCTTTAGGCACACAGAGCAGTGCTGTCTTTCAGTAAAGGGAACTGTGCCACCATGTGGAAGTCTCTAGTAGTTCCCTTCCCCAAAGGTAGTCTGCTTCTGAAAGGACTGTAGCATTGTAAACAAGTCAATGTTGGGAAAAGCATGTCATAGAATTCATGTAGTTCCTGTAAGAAAAGTTATTTGCAAAGCTTTGAGCTGCACATCCTTGGCAAGTTGGTGCAGGTTTTCTGCACAGGACCATAAAAGAGAAAGGAAAGGGGAAGGGGAAGAAAGGGAGGATGATTAGATTGAGCTTCTCCATTTCAGTGATTTATTTTTGTAGGAATTTCTTGAAGAGATGGCTTGTTGCACTTGACAGGGATACTAATTCTGCATGTGAAACATGCGCGGCTGGAAATGAGTTTTGAATTGGTGCTTCCCAGGAGACAGATCATAACTTTCCTGGTTAATTTATTGAGAAACCTGTGCATTCCTACTTGAGTTTCAAGGAAGGTAAAAAGATGCTTTTACCAATTCTGGACTATAAACTCCTCTGGGCTATGTCATGTTTTTTTTTCCCCTGTGCTGGGTGCAAACAAACTGAACCTCTTGGGAAATCTGTCTCTGTTCCTAGGGATGGGATGATAAATAGAAGAGTCGTGCAGCTCAGTTCCTCCTAAATCTATACAGAATCAGCCTATTTGACTGGACATTTGAACCTGTCTTTATTCTTTCCTTTTAAATGTGGTTTTCTGCACAGGCTTAATGTAGTCCTGTATGGATTTTCTAATTTCCTGCTCCCATATTAGCTTGTTCAGCAGGGCTCTACTTTCCACCCTTGCCATTTTAGAGTAGCTATATATAGATATGTAAGAATTGTGAAAAAATGTCTATACCTGCTGAAGTACTAAGCAATTGCTTCAAAAGTCTGTTTTCTAATTTTAAAGCCAGTAAATATTCAGGATCTCGAAAGGAAGAAGAGATCATTTCTGCATTTTGTAGAGGTACAAGATGCTGCTAACAGGTACTTGAATGTGATGATTTACCTGTAAGTGAATGGAAAGAAACTGAAGGCATGGAAAGTGATGAACATGGTGATGAATTGTTAAGCATACTTGGGTGTTTTGAGTGACATGAGACTGCCTTGTGGTTGTCATGAATGTGGCCTGTAAATATCACTATTGAAATAACTTGTACAAAATACTAAGTAGCTCCCAAAGAGTTAAACACTATCTCTTTGATGTGTCTCTTGCTATGAAGGTAGGTGTTGCGTCTTTTGGAGAGATCCCATTTCTGCATGTTTCTTACCTTCTCCAGAAACAAATATCCTGGGTAGACTCAGGGCCACTAGCAAATAATCAGTCTGTCCCCATGATGATGGAGGTGGGCTGGAGATGAGTCCCATTTCTGATGCAAGTGAAGACCTAACCAGAGACAGGTAGTTTTTGTCACGTCTGGTAATTAAAAGAAAGGATTGTTTTTTCATTCATTCATTGTTAAAGGGCATAGGTCTTTCCCATTCAGAATAGCTTCTGGATTATTGGTGCAAACAGGAAATAGTTAACACTTATCCAGTAGTTTCAGAGTTCACCTCATACTGCATCTGATCTTCTCATAAGCATACGAAGCTCTACAGAAAGCTTTAGTTCAGTCCATCTCAATTAAAACCTGAAGTTGCAACCTTCTTAGGTGAGTGCCTGTTTCTCAGACTGTTGTAGCAACTCTGTGTTTTCTGGCTTTAATATTTAACAATGTTTGATCAGGTTTGTTACTTCAGATGAATTTTTTTCCAATATTATGTAGAATAGATCTAAAATATCCATCCGTTGGGGTGCATTAAAAAGAGTGGGGCCAGCAGATTGAGGGAGGTGATCCTCTCCCTCTACTCTGCCCTGGTGAGGTCACGTTTAGAATATTGTGTCCAGTTCTGGGCTTCCCAGACCAAAAAAGATGGGAATCTCCTAGAAGGATTGCCAGAGAGTTGATAAAGGGCCTGGAGCATCTCCCATATGAGAGAAGGCTGAGTTACCTGGGTCTGTTCAGCCTGAGAAAAAGAAGACTGAGGAGGGATCTGATTAATCTTAATAAATATCTGAAGGAAGGTGGGAAGCAAATGGATCAGGCCAGGCTCTTCTTGGTGGTGTGCAATAATAGAACAAGGAGCAATGGCCTAAATCTTGAACATAGGAAGAAGTTCTGTACAAACATGTGGAAGAACTTCTTCACAGTAAGGGTGATGGAGCATTAGAACTGGTTGCCCAGAGAGCTTGTGGAGTCTCCTTCTATGAAGATATTCATAGAATATCTGATGCCTACCTATGTATGTCACATGATGTACCTATGTGTCGTATTGTAGGATGTGTGCTTTGGCAGGGGGGATGGACTTAATGACCTCTTGAGGTCCCTTCCAAATAATCTTGCCAGTAGCTGAAAGTTTCTTGTGAGCAGCAGAATTATATATTCTGGAGATTAGCCCAAAGAGTACTTATAAAGTTCTTTCAAGACTAAACTTCAGCCAGTAGAACACCCAAGTTCATCTTTAGAAGTGCAGTTTTTTTTTGCATTGATGGAATACTCAAAATAGAAGAAAACATAATATTCAGTGCACATGGATCTTCCTTAAACAATGTTTGTGAGTGTTTTAAAACAGAGGAAATAGAATACGAGTTAAGTAGTTTCAAAAATTTGTTTCTGTTTGCTATTGGCTTATTTTAGACTTTCAGGAGGTAGCATGATAATTTGGAAATAAAATATTTTACATAAATAAAAACAACATAAACATTTCAAAGAAAAATGAAGAGGTTTTGGGGGGTTATGGTTTTTCCTTTGTTTAAAACACAAAAAGACGCCCTTAGCTACCTCCCCTTCTCACTTTTCAGGTAGTCATTTCAGTAGCTTTTAGAACTGAATGAAAACAGATTTTCAGTTTGAAACATCCAGTGAATAGTTGGAGAGGTCAGTCACAACAATTATTATAGCAAAGCAAAAGTTTATCTGTCTTTCCTTCTTTGCAGCCT